AACTCATCTCATTCATTAATATTTTCATCTTCACTAACATCATTTTCATCTACACCCTAAAATTATTAAAACACATTATTTAACCACCTAAAATTATAAAACATTAACATAATATGGGTATCAAGTTTCTTACCTCATAGTTTTCACCATTATTATTCATTTCATCTTCAATCTACAAAATACAATGTTTAGGAAAAAAACCAAATATCAATCAAATTATCATAATAATAATATAACATCAATATAAAATAATTGCATAAGCATAAAACTAACCTCCGTAACTTATCGAAATTTTTCTGTGCGAGAAATCTAAACCAACGAACTTATATATACTAAAATCAGCTTATAAGTAGCCATCAATATGTAAACCGACTTCTCACCATTGAATCACATTGCCAAACCAACTTCTAATGAGAAGTCGGTATCCCAGGCAGAAAACAATGGAAAACCAGCTCCTTCCAAATCGACTTCTATAGAGAAGTTGGTATTCCCCATAGCAACAACCTAAGAGAACCTACCCCGGCCCAAACGACTTTCAAACCGTTGATACCGGTACCAGGTTACCACATCTTTTCATCCAATGGTTATAAAAAAGTTCGCACCGAAACGAACCTTTACACAATTCGTATATTAGAATTGGCCATTATTCATTTCTAACTAATGTTCATTCCTTCCCTATAAAAAGATGTATAGGAAAGTCGTGTTATACATATTAGTAATGCATATTTTGTTTGTCTCTTATTCTTTTCTTCTTACTTTCTATCTACATTGTGTTTTTATTACGCCTTTTGCTTTTCTGAATAAAAAATGGTTAACTTTCTTTTTTTTGTGCAGATTTCTTCTTTTTCAAAGAAATTGTTAGGTGATAAAATAAGTTTAGTTTTCCATTATTTTGACAAAACTGCATCATTTTTCTACACAATGAGTTTTTTTACTTTCATTGGCTTAGATAATTTTTTGTGCCTTTTAATTTTCTGAATGATGTTTTTTATCCTTTTTGTTTTGCATATTTTGGTTTGAAGAACTCATCCCAAATTAAGTTTGTGTTACTCTACCAATTTAGCAATTTTACTCTATAATTGTAAAACAATAATAGAAAATCATAATGGACTAAATAATTTTATTCTATCATTTTACTTAATCTCAAACACTCTGGATTGACCACTAAATTGTAATATATACACATTTTCAATTTTATATATAATAACTACATCATTCACTATTCATATATAAAAAAATTAATGGATAAATAATGTATGAATTTTTTCATACTTTATCATTATTGACTCTATATAATATAAAATACAAATGAATCATAGATAATATAAAATTTCAATAACATTATATATATATATATATATATTTAAAATGATTAAATATTCAGATAATAACATACTAATAATACTATATGATAAATGTTCCACAGCCTTTGGGCCGGGGCAGACAACCCTTTTAGGTGTTATATAACCAGAGTATGTTCATACTTCATTTCCTCTCTAATCTTTGTTTGTACTGCCGCAGCTGTTCATTTTTTCTAGGGTTTTAAGAAAGATATTCTGAGCTACTCGTAAATTTCCTGCCAAAATGGTTAGTATCATACCTACCTTGTTCACCTCCACAGATCTAAAATGGGTTTTCAATATTTTATCTTCTCTTTTCCATTTGCTATTGGTTATTGTTTGTTACTTGAATCAATAAAGCTGTTAATTTGTAGTAACTTTTTTCTTTCACTTTCTTATGGTAGTTTTGCTTGCTTGTATCCCTATAGTTTGATAGAAACATTTATCTCCGTGTTTATGGCTGAGTAGGTTCTCCAGAACGATATTGATTTGTTAAACCCTCCACCGGAGCTTGAGAAGAGAAAGCATAAGCTCAAGCGTCTTGTTCAATCACCAAACTCTTTCTTCATGGTATTTTATATGCTCACGAGAAGATACTTTATTCTTTGATTCTAAGCCTTACTTGGTTTGAAGCACAGGGCATAAACATTGTTTTTTATTTGTTAATTAAGTTTCTTTTCTCCATGTTTTTTCCTTTCACTCTTCAGGATGTTAAATGCCAGGGTTGTTTCAATATGTAAGTTGGATCTTTTTTGTTATTTTATTTTAATTGAAAATTGTTATTTGCCTTTGTATAAATCTTACAATGATTGCTTTTGGTTGCTTACGCAGAACCACCGTATTTAGCCACTCTCAGACTGTTGTGGTGTGCGGCAACTGTCAGACCGTCTTGTGCCAGCCAACAGGCGGGCGAGCTCGGCTAACCGAGGGTTGCTCCTTTAGAAAGAAGGGTGACTAAGTGGCGCATTGTCTTGTATTTTTGTGTGCCTGATTGGAGAGAGTCTGTTAGGTTTAAGATTGACGGAATGTTTGTCCATTTTTTGTTCCAATCTCTTAATATCCCACAAGCTTCATCAGTTGTTAATGGCACCATCTAATTTTGTTTAATATGTTACGAATTTACTGTTATAGTGTATGTTATTGAGCGTTTATTTGCCTATTTTATTGTATGATGTTCCTTCGTTTCTTTTTATAAGAAAATTATTTTTTTCTTCATGTACAGCATTTGGGTGCTGCTTCTTTTTAGTTCTGTCCCACTGAGGCTACCTAACTGCTTGTTCCTCTCAGTATCAATTTTCTGTTAATTTTTATTTTATTTTTTGCAACCATGATTTTATTTGCTTATTAATAATTCACTTAAGGCAGAGGGCTTCCCTCTGATTCTTTGTGGTCTACATTTTACCGTGTGTAGGTAGGTGATGGGATCCAGATGAGAGGGCCCAAAACATTAGGCCCAACCGAATTATGAAGCCATGAAGCCACCACATTGACTGAAGGATTATAACTAATAATAATTTCCTTTATGTATTTTAAAAGACTAAGCTCATTGAATAGTAAAGAACCTGAATAATAAAGAACCTGGGCATGTTAGTGTAAGCCCATCAGCATGTTAACCTAAATTGTACTATTATTTAATGAATGAGCAACTGCAGTAGTATTATCCAGAAATTTCTTCTCCTTGGTACCAAGTTCTTATTTGGTAGCTGTTACTAGATAATTCCTATTAGTAGCACAAATCAAATCACTCTGCCCTTTTTGACTGTACTGTTTCTGTTTCATTGGAGTATAGTTTCTATAAATTTAGCTGGATAATTATGTTTGTTTGCTGTCATCTATTTATTGAATTTTCACTATAGCTTGTATGAATATGAAGTACAATACATGTATTGAGATAAAAAAGGTTGAATAATAAGAAATGAGAGGATGGTTAGAAACATCTAAGATACATAGGATTTGTGATGCAGGTTTAGGAAGTTATCCAAGTACTTACATTTCCTGGGAAGGGGAATGATAGAGTGCAAATAACAATCTATCAAGAACACTATGAAATTATCATACTCCTAAGAAAGATATAAACTAAGAAGATAATAAGAGTAAATTTTTCATTTTTCATTGATTTCCTTCAAGGATGAACAAAGACACTATTTATAAAAAATAATGAAATCCTAAGATGATGATGACCATACAAGTATTATTATCTTACACTATAAGGGAACCACAGACCCTGAAAAAGATTTGTTTCTTACCCAAAAAGGTGAAGGGATACCCTTAATAGTACCAAAAAAAGTAAACTTTCTAGTAGGTATATTTTGCCAACTCTATGATGGCAACCCACAAGGGGGTGGTTGCATTTTTGGTTGGTCGTTATTGCTTGATATTATAAAATAACTTGTGGAATTAAACTAAGCTATGAATGTCACGTTTTTGGTGATATTTTTGGTGTGTGTACATGGAATTAAAATGTGCATATGATGATGGGATGAAGTGTGTATGATTTGTGTATGTTTGGATAAAAGAAATGGATAAGGAATGAAGGGTGATGACGCCACAAACACAAGTTTTTGATAAGCCTATGAGATTTGCCACGCGAAAGGATTCTCGATAATAAATAGAGGTAAGACATCACACCAAATGGTGATAAGACTTTGAACGTCACAAGAACAAGTTTTTGATAAGTTTTATGATCTTGGCTTAGCTAAGGGCGTAGCAACAATGCTCAACTAAAAAGGAATTGATTCCAAGACAAATTCAAGGTTGTTATTTCTCATGTTAATTTGGTTACAAATAGTGGTGTGGCTGGCCAAGCATGGCTCCACAAAATTACAAGAAGTTAAAGCATACATTAAGTGTTAGTCCCTGTTGGGAAATTCTGAATCAATTTCTCTCCTTTGTGTGATGCAAAATGGGCACTTGCGGAAGCGGCAAGTGAATAAAGTAAATAGAGAAGAATAGAAGAATTACACCAAGAATTTTTAACGTGGAAAAACCTTCTCAACGTGAGAAGGAAACAACCACGGGACCTAGTCCAGAAAATATCTCCACTATAGAAAAGTAGGATTACAAACTCTCTTACAAAGAGGATAACACTCAATCTCACCCAAAATGATGGAAATACAAACTCTCTAGTATCTCACTAGTAATACAAAACTCACACTAAAGTGTATATAAGCTCTCTCACTTTCTCTCTATGTTGCTTTTTCTCACTTGCTTGTTCATTTCTACTTCACAAGTTCCCTTTATATAGTGAAGGGAATGAATGCTTCATCATAAAGACATAGTGGATGATTAATTGTTGTCATACTTTCAAGATACCTTGAAAATGTTATTCCAACTTTCTAAGTTGCACTTCATGGTTCTCAAGAGTCAAGGAGTAATTCCAAGACTTACTCCAACTTTCTAAGTTACACTTCATGGTTCTCAAGAGTCAAGGAGTAATTCCAAGACTTACTCCAACTTTCTAAGTTAGGCTTCATACCTTCCAAGAGTCATTGGAAGAGTCATCATACAATGTTTCATTTACCAAGTTGCATTGTTTATACTTTCACATCAATTAAGAAGGATTCCCAACAGTCCCTCATCTCCCATGTGCATAAGCTTATGAAAGGTCTAAGTTCAATGAATCTCTAGAAAGGAAACAATTCCGTGTATAATTACATGTTATCCTCTTAAGGCAATTAATCATACGCATACTCCAAGTATGGAAGGCTACCACATGGTAATGTTGTCCACACGCCCCTTTTAATGTTTGTATTTCCTCCATGATATGAAAAGACTAAGCTCATTGAATCTTCCACATAGGGTAATAATATCACACGATTTGCTTGAGGTTTGGAAAGATAATAACTCCTTGATTTGGAATGCATATCTCCATGGTTCAGAATAGGTAAGTAATCATGCCTTCCTTTATTGTTGATCCTAATAATATGACCGTGGCCAAATTCATTGTTCCTCCTCAAGGCAAGTTACACGCCTAAGGTAGGAAATCATCTTATTCATTAGCTTTTAAATGGAGCCAAACAGATTTGATTTCCATATGGTAAGTAATACCTTCTTGCATGTGATTTTGATTTCATGTTTCACGACTTGCTTACTGTTGGAGAAACCAGAAATACACAAAATCAGAGAATGAAGAATGGCACAGCTCTACGAAGAAGATGATGAACAGTGACTTTAGTTGCAGAGTGAAATAGTGAGAGAAATTGTGTAGAAAAGGGAGAGAGATGTAGGAGAAGAGAGTAAAGGTAAGTATCTATGAATATACTTCTTTATTGATCATCATCTTATGAATTTGTATACAATGCCTTATATAGCATAACTACCAACTAACTCAACTAGAAAAACTATCAAAACTTTCCTAAAACAGAAAGTTCCTAACTAAGCTTATTTGAATCACATTTTCAACATCCTCCCTTGATTCAAATATTTATTACAAGCTAATTACATTCAAAGCTTCTCTAAGCTTCCTGAATTTCTCAAACTTTAATGGCTTTGTTAAAACATCAACAACATTATCATTGGTGTTGCAATACTCCATTTGGATCTTGCCTTGACTCACTTGATTCCTCAAGAAGTGATACTTGGTATCAATGTGTTTGCTTCTCCCATGAGATATGGGATTCTTGGCAAGATCAATAGCTGATTTGTTGTCAACAAACAGCTTCACCATATCTGAAACATCCAGCTTTATTTCCTTGAACAGTGAAGTTAGCCACCTTGCCTGGCATGCAGTAGAACAGGCTGCAATGTACTCAGCCTCACAGGTTGATAAGGCTACTACTCTTGCTTCTTTGAACTCCAAGTGATCACAGATCCAGATAGCATGAAGACTTGACCCATTGTGCTTTTTCTTTCAATCAAATCCCCACCCCAATCTGAATCTGAGTAAGCAGTGAGTGTTAGGATAGTTTCACAGCTCTGTTTAGGGAAGATGACACCAAAACCCATGGTTCCTTTGAGATATCTAAGGATCCTCTTGGCTGCAATCATGTGTGGTTGTCTAGGATCACTCATGAACCTACTAATTAATCCAACACTGTATGCTATTTCTGGTCTGGTGTGGCATATATACCTCAAACTGCCAACAACTTGCCTAAACATGCTTGCATCAACCCTTGTTTCATCTTCACCCTTGTTCAGTTTCACATTTGTCTCAGCTGGTATATCTGCAGCATTACATTGCACCATGTTGAACCTTTCTAACACTTCAGAGATGTATTTCTTTTGATGCATGAGGATGCCTTGATCTGTGTATGCAAACTCAAAGCCAAGAAAGTATGATAGGATTCCCAAATCAGTCATTTCAAACTCTTGCTTCAAACTTTGCTTTACCAGTTCAATCCCTTTTTGACTACTTCCAGTGATAACCAGATCATCTACATATAGACATATTAGAAGAATGTCTGCTATGTTTATGACCTTCACATAAACTCCATACTCCACAGAGCACTTCACAAAGCCAATGCTTGCTAGGAATGCATCAATCCTCTTATTCCAGGCTCGAGGTGCTTGTTTTAAGCCATACAAGGCTTTCTTTAGCCTTAGCACCTTGTGCTCATTACCTTGGCATATAAAACCAGGAGGTTGAGTGATGAATACTGACTCATCAAGTGGCCCATTGAGGAAAGCTGACTTCACATCTAACTGCCACAACTTCCATCTCTTCAAGCTTGCAATGGCAATAATCACCCTTACTGTTTCAATTCTTGCTACTGGAGCATAAACCTCTGAGTAGTCCAAGCCTTTCTTCTGCATGAACCCCTTGGCTACAAGCCTAGCCTTATGCTTGGCAATTGATCCATCAGGATTGTGCTTCACCTTAAAAACCCATTTGACAGCAATAGGCTTCTTGTCTTTGGGCAGATTCACCATCTCCCATGTATCATTCTTTTCAATGCTTTTCAGTTCATCTTCCATTGCTAATCTCCATACTTTGTGTGAAATAGCCTCTTCAACATTAATAGGCTCAGCATCTGCTAGTAAAACCATATATTGAACTAGGTTTTCTTCACTAGTGACATTATCATCAAAGTCTAGCAAATAGTCACTAAATCTGGAAGGAAGAGTTCTATTTCTGGTTGGTCTGCCACTTGTGATCTGTTGTGGTTCTGCTACTACTTCATCCTGCTCATCACTGTGATTTGCATTAGACTCAGCACCTTGAGTTGTGCTAGGCTCATTCCAATTGATTTGAAGCCTTGGAGTTAAGACACTTATAGGTTGTGAATCACTCCAAGCTTCAGCCTCATCAAAGTCCACATCCCTTCTGAAAACAGCTTGCCTTGTCTTAGGGTTATACAGCTTGTATGCACCAGTTGAACTATACCCTACAAGAATCATAGGTTCACTCTTATCATCAAGCTTCTTTCTCCTCTGATCTGGAATGTGCCTATAGCAGAGTGACCCAAATATTCTGAGATGTTTGATTGATGGCTTGATCCCACACCATGCCTCTTCTGGAACCATGTTGTCAAGCCTCTTTGTTGGACATCTATTGAGTATGTATGAAGCAGTCATGGCTGCTTCACCCCAAAGGTTGTGTGGAAGTCCCTTTTGCTTGAGCATACATCTCACCATATTCAGAATTGTCCTATTTCTCCTTTCAGCTATGCCATTATGCTGAGGAGTATAGGGTGCTGTCACCTCATGTGTTATCCCTTCCTTCTTGCAAAACACATCAAACTCCTTGGAATTGAACTCACCTCCACCATCTGTTCTCAAAGTCTTGATGTGTTTACCAGATTCCTTTTCAACCAATGATTTAAAGTCCTTGAAGGTGCAGAATACTTCATCTTTTGTCTTGATGGGATACAACCACAACTTTCTACTCACATCATCCACAAAGGATACAAAGTACCTGCTGCCTCCAATAGTAGTCACCTCAAAAGGTCCACATACATCTGAGTAGACAATATTCAGAACTTCCTTAGCCTTAGACATTGTATATGTGCTGAATGCCTTTCTTGGTTGCTTGCTGATCAGACAATTTGCACAAACTCTCTTCTGATCTGTTGTTGTTGTTGGAAGTCCCAAGATCATGTTCTTTTAGCTAAGCAGACCCAAATCCTTGAAGTTTAGGTGGCCTAGCCTTAGATGCCAAAGCCAAGAATCATCTGCTAAGTCAATGGCTGAGAGACAACTAGGATCCATTGCATTTAGATTCACCTGAAAGGTTCTGTTCTGGGCTAGAGGCACTGTCATGATCTTTTGTTTTGCAGAATCAAAAATTTCCATTACTCCATTGAGTGTGCTGATTGAGAAACCTCTCTCAAGTAGTTGACCCATGCTAATCAAGTTGCTCTTCATCCCAGGAACATAGAGCACCTTATTCAAAACTAAGCTCCTTCCATCTTTCCTTTTGATCATAATGTTGCCTATGCCTTCAGCTAGAATAGTTCTATTGTCTGCCAATCTGACCTTTGTCTTCTTGCTGTCATCATATTCCACAAGCCAATCTTTATGGCTAGTCATGTGATTTGAACATCCAGAGTCTATGTACCAGACTTCACTGCCTTCAATTTCTTGGTTGGTTGTAGTCACCATAAGCATGATTGGTTGCTCTTTAGCACCTGCTTCATTATCTTCCATCACCATGTGTGCATCACTTGATTGGTTGCCTCTGTGAGTGTTATGGTTAGCTGACATACACTCATTAGCATAGTGTCCAATTTTATTACACTTGAAGCACTTGATCCTGCTCTTGTCTGTCTTCTTTCTTCCACCTTTCCAACCATTGCCACTGCTTCTGTTTGAGCTTTCTGCTTGCTCATTATCAGCTCTGTTTTGACCCTTGTAGAGAACATGTCTTTGCTCTCTTTCTTTGTTCCAATGATTGTAAGCTTTTCTTGCACCAAAACTTCCTCTTCTTGATGCTTGAGACAGTAGCAGCTGATTCTCACTTGACTGCTTGTCAATGGATCTTTCATTGAGTCTTTGCTCATGTGCTTGTAAAGATCCTTGCAACTCCTCTACCTTCAACTCATCCAAATTCTTTGATTCTTCAATGGCTACAACAATATGATCAAATCTTGGATGAAGAGTCCTAAGCACTTTCTCCACTATTGACTTGTTCTTGATGTTCTTGCCACATGCCTTCATTGCATTAGTGATTGCAATGATTCTATTGAAGAAGTCAGCCACCTTCTCATTGTTCTCCATCTTCATCACCTCATATTGGCGCCTCAAGGTCTGCAAATTCACCTTCTTGAGTTGTTCAGCCCCCTCACTACATCTCTCTAGGATTCTCCATGCTTCTTGTGAAGTTGCAGCTCCTGCAATCTTCTCAAAGTGAGCTTCATCAACACATTGATGAAGCAAAAACTTCACTTTGTGATCCTTCTTCTTTCTTTCCTTGAAGTCTAGCTTTTGAAATTCTGTTGGGTTTTCTGGAAGCTCTTGGAGACCCTCTTCAATCATATCACCCAGATCTTGAAACCCAAGAATGGAATCCATCTGAATCTTCCATTTATTCCAATTCTTGCCATTTAGAATAGGTAGTGTGGTTGTGAAGTTTCCATTGTTTGGTCCCATTGCTTTTAAATCTTTCTTCAACCTTGCTCTTGATACCAGATGTTGGAGAAACCAGAAATACACAAAATCAGAGAATGAAGAATGGCACAGCTCTACGAAGAAGATGATGAACAGTGACTTTAGTTGCAGAGTGAAATAGTGAGAGAAATTGTGTAGAAAAGGGAGAGAGATGTAGGAGAAGAGAGTAAAGGTAAGTATCTATGAATATACTTCTTTATTGATCATCATCTTATGAATTTGTATACAATGCCTTATATAGCATAACTACCAACTAACTCAACTAGAAAAACTATCAAAACTTTCCTAAAACAGAAAGTTCCTAACTAAGCTTATTTGAATCACATTTTCAACACTTACCACACGACTACATAAGGTTGGATTCCATTCATGATTTGCAAGATATTGAATCTTCTATATATGGAAAGATCGAATCTTCTACGTATGGAAAAACTGAATCTTCAACATATGGAAAGACTCAATCTTATCACACGACTCCTTAAGGCAAAGAATCGCCATGACGTCTTTTGCATTTTAATTTCCCACGCCTAGCTTCCAAGTTAGGAATGTCCAGAATCACCTAGCACCAAAAAAGAAACAAGCATATGCTTGGCTGCCTTGGCACCAAATAGGCAGCTTTCCACTAGGCCTTCAATTTACTCACCTTGCCACCTAAGGACACTATATTAAATGTCTAAAACGGCAAAATTCCAGAATCAATTAACATAAAACAAACATAATAAAATCTAAAATTACAAGTGGGACAAAAGACCCTCATTTTATTAAATGTGACTTAAAAATATGTCAGCATTATAATTTTGTTAGTTGACACGTAATTTTTCTTCAAATTGAAGGGCACCCTTAGCTATCCCTATGCCATTATCTTTTGTTATTTAGAAGCAACCACTTGATAAACTATCAAGTGTTAATTTTATAGGGGCCAAAGTTGTGCAGTCAAATCATAGATAATTTTTTATAGATTGCATTATAGTGAATAAGTACCTGAATCTTATTTATTCTTGTTGTTACCGTAACTTGCAGTAATTCTGAATGACATGAAATAATATTTACTTAATGAGTCACGATCAGGTCGCTATCTTTAAGACGTTTAGTGGTACTGCCCAAAATGTGTAAGCAGACTATCAACCACGCTGTCCCCAGGATAAAACAGTCATCTGTTATCGAATTCTTACTGCACTGTACAAACCGATCTTGAATACACCCACTACAATATGGCTACCAGTTCCATTCTATTCCCACAATCTGACTACTAGTGTCAGTTCTCGAAATTCTCGCAATTTGGCTACTTGTGCCAATTCTTTTCTCACAATCTGACTACCAGTGTCAGTTTTCGAACTTCTCACAATATGGCTGCCTGTGCCAATTCTTAGTGCCACAGAAAGAAAGGGGGAGAAGTTTGTCGGAAATGTGTCGGCGAAAAATATGAGGGAGAAAGAAAAAGTTAAGTAAAAGCTTACTCAACTTTGGTGCAAAAAAATATGAAGGGAGAAGGCTTCTCTTTATAGCATGAAATTTTGTCAAAACTCTTGCATCTTCTTTGTGGGACTTGTGAGATTTTTTACAAAATCTTCCAATGTGGGACTTGTGAACTTTTCCAAATTATTCCAATGTGGGACTTGAGAGTTTTTCAATTTCACATGCAAAGGTCCACACTAATGGCATCCAACTACACAAGTTCCAACAATCCCCCATTTGAAATTAAAAAATGATTTCCAAGAATTTTTGTGGTCTCATTAAGATTGTGCATAAACAAAGGTGTCATTCGACTTCAACCTTTGCATAATGAGTAAGATCCAGATTTTACTAGAGTGACTCGTAGTCTTGAACTCTATCTCCAACATCGAACCACACACAAAATTTTCAAATGTTGTATTCATTAAAGCCTGTGCGTTAAAGGCCATGCACGTCTATCCTAGTTTGGTGAACACTCTAGCAATTTATGCCCCTAAATTTCATAGAAAGCGACTCCCACTTCCACATTCACATAGGTGAGTCTATCAAGAGTACTCATGTAGTCTAGGTACTCCACTCCAATTGGAGTATAGATCTCATTTAAGAGTTTAACTCATCCTTATATATACTGCAAGAATCATGCTTCTCATAATTTCATAGCATGTTCATTCTCATATCACTTCACAACTTGTTATTACCCATTGAACCTATTTCTTGGGATCTCCAGTCAGTTAGGTCGGGTTATCATTGTGAGTGATCTTTGTTCTAAGGGCAATAGTCCCATAAACTTAGAAGTATTATGGACTTTATCTCTAGCTAGTCCTTTCGTCGAAGGATCTGCTAAATTATTCTCAGTGCGTATATGATCCACTCTAACAACTCTTATAGAGAATAACTCTCTAATGGTGATGTGCTTACGACGTATTTTCCGTTTCTTACTGTTATAAAAACGATTCTCAATCTTTGCAATAGCCGCGATACTATCACAATGGATCATCACAGCTGGTATTGGTTTTTCCCATAGGGGAATCTCTGCAAGCAAGCTTCTCAACCAACTTGCTTCTTCACTAGCTGTTGCTAGTGCTATCATCTCAGCTTCCATAGTGGATTGAGCCAAAATAGTCTGTTTCTTTGACTTACAAGAAACAACCCCACCAGCTATGCTAAATATATAGCCACTGGTTGCTTTGGAATCATCTGAAAGAGTGTTCCAATCAGCATCGCTGAATCCTTCTAGGACAGCTGGAAATCTTCGATAGTAATCCAAGGTTTTTCATTTTCTTAAGGTACCTCATTACCCTTTCTATAGCATGTCAATGCTCCATACTAGGTCTAACGATAAACCTGCATAATAGTCCCACAACATAGGCAATGTTGTGTGTAGTGTAATCAGTGGCATACCGAAGGCTGCCAATGATGCTAGCATACTTAGTTTGTCTTACACCTTCACTAGTGTTCCTAAAAAGTTTTACACTTGGATCATATGGTGTGCTAGCAGGTTTACAATCAAAATATTTATATTTCTTTAGGATCTTTTCCACATAATGAGATTGATCCAAAGAAATTCCTTCTTTTGACCTAGTAATGTTTATACCAAGGATTACATTTGCCTCTCCAAGGTCTTTCATATAAAAGTTGTTACACAACAATGATTTCACATTGTTCACAACATTAATATTGGAACCAAATATGAGTAGGTCGTCTACACTGAGACATATGATAGTGTAAATGCCTTTTTCTAATTTGTAATAAATGCATTTGTCACTTTCATTCACCTTAAACCCATTCGATACAATTAAGTTGTCAAACTTTTCATGCCATTGTTTAGGTGCTTGCTTAAGAGCATACAACAACTTATCTAACTTGCAGACCTTATTTTCTTGCCCATGGATTACAAAACCTTCAGGTTGTTCCATGTACATTTCTTCTTCCAAATCACCATTTAGAAAAGCGGTCTTAACATCCATTTGATGTACTACTAAATCATGTATCGCAACAAGCGATATTAGTACTCTAATGGATGTTATTCTAGTAACAGGTGAAAATGTATCGAAGAAATCTACATTCTCTCTTTGTCTGAAACCTTTGGCTACAAGGAGAGCCTTGTATTTATCCATTGTGCCACCAGGTTTCAGTTTCTTTTTCAAAACCCACTTACAACCAATCAGTGTGCAATCAGGTGGAAATCTAGTCAAGTGCAAGGTCTTGTTAGACTCTAGAGAATTCATCTCATCATTTATAGCCTCTTGCCACAAGTCAGAATCCAAAGAAGTCCAAGATTCTTGGATAAGTGATGGATCCTCCTCCAATGTATAGACCATATAATCAGGTCCATACTTTTTTGTAGTTCTTGCTCTCTTACTTCTTCTAGGTTCTATTTCTAACCTATCATCACAATCTCTAATCACAGGTATGTGATTAGTTTATGTGCCCCCACTATTCCTCAATTTAAAAGAGAATTTATTTCCATTGAAGTCAGCATCATTAGACTCAATGATCACTTTCGCGTTAAGGTCATAAAACCTGTACGCCTTGCTATTCACAACATACTCAATGAATACACATTCATAGGCTCTACTAGTGAGTTTAATTCTCTTGGGGTCTGGTATCCGGACATAAGCCAGACAACCCCAAGTTCTCAAATAAGATAGGTTTGGTTGTCTATTCTTAAAGATTTCATAGGGAGATATTTTGATTTTAGCCTTTGGGACTCTGTTTAGCACATGACAAACAATCAATAAAATTTCACCATACCAAGAGAGTGTTGCACCAGAACTTAACATAATAGAAACTACTAATTCAGTTAAAGTTCTATTCTTTCTTTCAACTTTACCATTCATTTCAGGTGAATATGGTGCAGTTGTTTCATAAATAATGTCATTTAATTTATAAAAATCATTAGACATACTAGAATCATACTCACTGCCTCTATCGCTTTTGAGTTTCTTTATTTTCTTAATAAATTGATTTTCAATTTCAATCACAAACAACTTAAACATGTCAAGTGCTTCACTTTTATTTTTCATCAGATATACATAAGTGAAATTAGAGCAATCATCTGTAAAAGTTATAAAATATCGTTTACCATTTTTGGTTAACTTTCTATCTAATTTACATATATCAAAGTGTATCAAATCTAAAGGCTTGGATTCTCGCACTATTGATTTATGTGGTTTTTTAGTTATTTTAGCTTGACTGCATGATTCACAATTTTCAAAATCATTTTTAGATAATTTAGGAATTAATCCTAAGTTACTTAAATTCGAAATAACACGTTTATTAATATGACAAAGCCTAGAATGTCAAATATTAAAATCACACAACATGTAAACTGAATCAGAAATTTTATTCATCAAAACATCAACATTTAATTTAAACATGTCATTAGTGGCGTACCTCTTCCCTACAAATACCCCATTCCTAGTAAGAGTATACAAGTTTTCTCCTATCGTATGTGTAAAACCAGCCTTATTAAGAAGAAAAGCAAAAACTAAATTCGTCCTCATTTATGGAGTGTGCATCATATCTTTGAGAATCAGAATCTTACGAGATGTAAACTTCAGCTCACATCACTAGTTCCAACAACAATAGTGGTGTGAGAATCTCCCAACAACACTTTCTTGTTATCAGCATTCGTGTATGTTTTGAACATAGCACGATCATAGCAGACATGGCGAGAGGCACCAATATCTACTCATCACTCATCAGTTCCTCCAACCATAGTAACATCAGTTAACACTGCCACAAGTGGCTCCTCAATCATGTTGGCTTGTGGAGTATGATCCACTAGTTGGTTTCTGCACTTGCGTACCATATTGATGAGTCAAATATTAAACACTATTAATAACCTTATTTTACCATTGTTAATGATTCTTGGTGTCTAATTGACTTTATTTGGCATTGTTTAGTGTTTTAGGCTTTATTGGACTATTATTCCTGAAATGAGTTAATTTGGGATTATTTAGCCTAATTAAATCTAATTCCATTTTCAGGACATATTTGACACCAAGGACATTTTGGGCATTACAAGTGGAAGATGTGTGCTAAAGTGAAGATTGTATTTAGTTATAGGATTTTTAATTCCGTTTTAGGTTTTGGGCCCATGTTTAGGGCCCATTTCGGTTTTACACTTTAATACCTTAGAATTTCGTTTTTCACTCATAACTGACATTAGAACAAAAACAACAGAACTCTACATTGCATTTTCGTTTTCTCCCTTTTGGGGTTCCTTTAGGTTTTCGTTTTCCATCTTCTTCCTCCTCCAAATTCGGTTTTGCTTCATCCTTCCATGGAAGGCTAAATTTCTGGACTAAACTCCTTTGGTAATGTATCACAACTCTTGAGGTTTGGTTATTAATGCAATTTCGGTTTCTTATTTGTCAATTTCTTCTATTCAAATTCTGGTTGTGGTTTGCTTAATTCCATGCCTTAGAAATAGATTTGTGAATTGATTTTCACTTAGTCAATCATTTCTCTAGTGCATGAATGCTTAGTTTATGTGAATCTGTAAATGCTCTATGTTTATGTTGAATTCGCTTAGTTGAAGCTTAACATTAGAGTTATGAACATATTAGGAATTCAATGTGTAGAATCTGAAATTGATGCTTTGATTCGTGTGACATTGTTAACTGTTTGTTGCTTATGCCAATTTCGCTTAGTTAGAGGTTTAGCAATTTAACTGTGAGTTGATTGTCGCTTAGTTAATCGACTCTCAACAAAGGAACACTGAGAATCTGATTTTGATATATTGAAACCGAGGATTGAGTTGTGAACAAGGAAACCAAAGGGATTTAGCCTCCTTACTATTCTGTTTTCTGTTTGTGTTCTGTTTTAGCTTAATTTCATAGCATAACAACCACTAAAACCCCCATTGTGTGTGTGCATGTAAGGTGTTTGAACCATTGTGTGAAAGATAATCTTTGGAAAACGACCTAGGAGTCACTTCCTAGTACTATACTTTATTGTTATATTATTTGTATCGAGTACGGCCTCGATCACATATGACTTGGCTTCCCACATTTGAAGCAGATAAACAGGTTTCCAGTGTCATTTTTAGCGAGTGGCTTAGCATATTGAACCTTCTGGGGCTTCCAATTCTTGTTGCGGTCGGTGTTCCTAACCTTATTCTCATTACGGTTTTGATTCTTAAAGTTGTTGCCCGTAGGCTTCAGAACCGCATCTGAGAATTTCTTCTTAGTGCTATTGTTTGATATAAACAACACATCATCTTTTTGATCTTGTCTACGAGCCTCTTCTTCAATGTGAAGACGAGTGATCAGAGACTCCAAAGAAAATTCTTTGGTCTTGTGCTTCAGGACGTTTTTAAAGTCCTTCCAACTAGGTGGCAGTTTGTCAATAATGACAACCACTTGAAATTGCTCATATAGGGCATACCCTCAGAAATGTTCTCATGAGCAATTTTCTGTATCTCGTGGGACTGAGACTCTACTGATTTATCATCAGTCATCTGATACTTGAGGTAGCGGCTAACAACATATTTCTTAGTCCCAACTTCCTCATTATCATATTTCCTTTTGAGTGCATGTCAAACTAATTTTGCAGACTTATATGGGATGTAGTAATCAAATAGATCATTAGACAACCATTCAGAATGAAATCTACATAAGTAGTCATTTTCATTCAAGAGAGCTATATCAATAGCAAGTTTATCTCTTTCCTATTTTTGAGCTTGTTCAGGGACCACTGGGACATCAGTATTCAAAACGTGGGCAACCATTTTTACAGTTAGGAAAAATTTCATCTTTGTTTGCCAGTGTTTGAAATTAGTCCCATTAAACCGAAATGGTTTGTTCAGGTCTAAGCTGTTCGGACCAGTAATATTATCTATGAATGCCACTGTAGTAGGAAACGTCTTAAAATTGTTGTTATCGTAACTTGCAGCAATTCTGAATGGCACGAAATAATACTTACTCACTGAGTCACGACCAAATCGCTCTCTTTAAGACGTTTCGTGGTATTGCCCAAAATGTGCAAGCAGATTATCAACCACGCCATCCCTAGGATAAAACAGTCCAGTTCTCTATTATCGAATTCTTACTGCACTGTAAGAACCGATCTTGAATACACTCACCACAATATGGCTACTAGTGCCAATTCTATTCACATAATCTAACTATCAGTGTCAGTTCTCGAAATTCCCGCAATTTGACTACCTGTGCTAATTCTTTTCCCATAATCTGACTACCAGTGTCAGTTTCTGAACTTCCCACAATATGGCTACCTGTGCCAATTCTTAGTGTCACTGAAGGAAAGGGGGAGAAGTTTGCCGAAAATGTGTCGGCAGAAAATATGAGGGAAAAAGAAAAAGTTAAGTAAAAGCGTACTCAACTTTGGTGCAAAAAATATGAAGGGAGAATACTTCTATTTATAGCAAGAGATTTTGTCAAAACTCTTGCATCCTCCTATGTGGGACTTGTGAGATTTTTTTACAAAATTTTCCAATGTGGGACTTGTGAATTTTTCCAAACTTTTCCAATGTGTTCTGAGTTTTTCAATTTCACATCCAAAGGTCCCCACTAATGGCATCCCACTACACAAGTTCCAATGTGAAGGCTTTTAAAATTTAATTCCAACCAACAAAATGAAATTCATTTAAGTGTTATTTTATTGATATTTTGTTTGTACGTTTTCAAGTGTTTTAAATTGTGATTACATTTGTGGTTGTGCTTAATGTGATTGTGGTTGTTAAGATGTGAATTGTTAATGATGTGGTATGAAATTTTTGTGATTGAAAAAAGTTTTTGAATTTGATTGTCTAATATGACCTTATATAGTTGTGTTGTTGCCTATTAGGACTATCATGGTGGGATGATGTGGTCAACCAATCTATTGACGCTCTCCATAATTTGATAGAATGATAGTTTTTTGTATTCTTATTAATATATTGTGCTTAGAGGTTGATAGGATGATTATGAGATTCATTAGAATAGGAATGAGATAGGATAATTGATTATTTAGATTTAATTAAATTATTAACATTTCTAGAATGTTCTTATAGTGTGAGATGATGATACTTGTATGGTTATCGTCATTTTAAGATTTCTTTATTCTCTATAAATAATGTCTTTGTTCATTCATGAACGAAATCAATGAAAAATGAAGAATTTTATATTTATTATCGTACTTTATCTATTTTCTTAGGAGTATATTAATTCTATAATGTTATTGGTAGATTGTTATTTGCACTCTATCAATTGTTACTTTAATTTTATATTTTTAATCACATCCCTAATCTTTACACAAGTTTTGTTATCTTTGCTCTCCAATTTTCTTCTCTTGCCATCCAAGCCCAAATTCCATCCATTCATTCTAGCAACCCCATCCTTCCTTTTCCACTCAACAATTCCATTACCCTCACCCTTCTTCCTCTCTCACTCACTTACCCCTACCTTTTCCTCGCGAAGCTCCTTTGTTCTCCAACCAACAATTCCAATACCACCATACTCCTTCCCCTCCCATGCAATAGCCCTCGCCCCATTTGACTTCATATCCTCATCCTTCCCCTTATCCCTACCATCAAAACTGTTGGTGCAACGGAAGCGATCGTTGCACAGCGTTGGTCACAAGCAATCAAATAAAGTGCATAGAATAAATAGAAGAGAAGAAACAAAGAATTTGGTAACGGGGTTCGCCCAATTGTGCCTACGTCCCCGAGAGCGCTGAGCGGCTACCAAGATATTATTACAGAATAAGGATTACAAACCTTGACACACCCATGGGCCCAAGTATCCATGGGGTGCTTCTGTTTGATGCTTATATCTGATGCACATTACAACAAGGGACCTAAGTCCAATATATAACATTGGTTACTCTACTCTATTCCAATATTAGGTGATGTGGGACTAATGCAATAACATTTTTCAAGCATTCACAACAATCTCCACCTTGATTGAAATAGACGAATATCTAGCTCCTTAGGAAATCTACACAAGAATCTCCACTTTAACGAATATATGACTCCACCTTGTTCAATGCATAAATCTCTAACAACTCCACATAAGAGTCTGCTCCTCTTCAGCATAAACCTTCTGAGTATCCTTGACGATGTTACCAAGAGCCAAGCTCTCTAAACTTTTAGTGCACCTTCTCGTACCGCCATCTAATGGAACACGCCGCCTAGCCATCTATTGCTAGGAAGTCTTTCGATATATGGAATCTCTACACAAAAGTTCACCAACAACCGTCCTCTTCAATACTCAGTCAAGCTGAACCTTGGAGATTCCTTGGAAAGCCTCAACCGTTATTATGGCACCCTAAATTTAAAGTCATTTAAATTATAGTATCAGTCCTGGAAATCTCGCTTGAGCGAGAAAGGTGTCGCCTGGGCGAGAGTGGCTCACTTGGGTGAGTGAAATACTGGGCTACAGTGAAGGATTCTCGCTTGAGCGAGAGCTGTCTTGCCTGAGCGAGAGTTTTCTCGCCTGGGCGAGAAGTGGCATTCTGGGCCTGTTAAGGCTGTGAGATTCTCGCTTGAGCGAGAATCCCTGGCTTGAGCGATAGGGTCAGATCTAAGTTTTTAAAATGAGCAGGTTTTCCTCGCTTGCGCGAGAACGCGCTCGCTTGAGCGAGAACCCGACGCTGTTACATTAAATAGGGAACCCCAAACACATTTTAGGGTTAGAAATTGAAGAAAAGTGAGGGAAGAGAGCATTTTCAAGAGCAAAGGGCCTTGATACTCATCTAGAAGCTTGAGAAGAGGTAAAACTCTTGATTCTAACTCTCTTATTCCCTTTGAAACTTTTTTTGGGTATGTTGGATCTCTTAAAATGTGAGAAACCATGAAAACTCATCCTTTAGAGTTATGGTTCGTTTTATGTTGTTTTTATCTTGAAAACTCTTAGTTTAGAGTTGGTATTTTAGGAATGGAAAGAGTTGTGGGTTGATTCATGAAAACCCTAAAACCCCCAAAATGAGAATATGAGTAAAAATGAAAATGGGTGAAATGTTAGATGTAGAAGATGAGTATAAGTTCTAATGTTGAATATGAGATGAATATGTATGTTTTAGATGTTTGGAAACATTGAAAATGTATGAATCTCTTGTATGATTAAAGATGAAATATGAGTTGTTCATGTGTAATTTTGAATAAATGACTAACATGGTTGTTATGTGGTGGGAATGAGGAAAGATCCTAAGGTTGGAGGCGGTGTCGGTGGAACTTTCAAAGTCGCCAAGAACCAATCTTAACACTCACCAAGGTAATGGATAAGTGTCTCCACTATTTATGAGATGATGTGAACATGGTATGAGTATGAGCCATTGTGTTGTAATAGTTGTGATGTGGACCACCTTTTTTGGTGTGGGCCTACCCGAAGTGGTAGTGGATTATCTTATAATATGTGCCTACCCGAAGTGGTAGTGGATTATTGAGTGTTGTTCTTACCCGAAGTGGTAGTTGATTATTGTGTGCTGTGCCTACCCGTAGTGGTAGTGGATTTTTGTGTGTTGTGCCTACCCGAAGTGGTAGTGGATTATTGTGTGTTGTGGACCTACCCGGAGTGGTAGTGGATTATCGTGAGTTGTGGACCTACCCGGAGTGGTAGTGGATTATCTTTATGTGGTGGACCTACCCGAAGTGGTAGTGGATTTTCTTTGAGGTGTAAACGGGCCGGAGGTGGTCAAGGATAAATTTGATGCAAAGTGTAAATGATGAACTGAAAGTGCCTTGGAATAAATGAATATGCATGTCATAGAATATATATTATGAGATCTATATACTATAAGATGAATATGGGTAGAAGGAGAATAGAGGAAAAGAGATACTAACGATTATATTCATGTTTTTAAGTAATGTATTTCATTTCAATGCTTATGTACACCTTAAATGTGGATTTTCATATGTGGTTATTATTAAATTAACGACTTACTCCCTTGTGTTTCGTGTGTTGCTATGATAATCCCATTGTAGGTAAACGGATGAATTGAGGATGTTGGATTTGGAGTCTTAGGAGTTTTTAAATTCGGATTTCCTTCTTTTGTGTTTTGTATCCTGACTGACTAAGTGCCATTTTTGGGATAATTGTAATTCTGATCATTATAACACTGGATATGTGTAGCTATGGGTATTTGGAAAATCCATAGCTAGTTGTATGCGGTAGTTACTAGGAGGTATAAATATGAATTATGTTTTTCTGCATTTAAGGGTAATCTAGTATGAAACCGATTTAGTATGATTTAAAGTTATGAGTTAATTAAAGGAATGGACAATTTAATAGGTTAAAAGAAATGTATGCATGAGGTAACATGAGGAATTAAGCTTAAAAGTTTAAAATAAAAGCAAAATTTTCAAGGGTAAAATTTGGGTCCTTACAACCATTGTCTAGCCCGACAATCATAGTTAAAAAGAACTATTATACTTCAGCATAAGGAGTATACCCATAGCACACACCTTGCCTAATGCTAACCAATGCCCATGCCACACTCTTGCATCCAAGCCAATGTTCATGTCACACCCTGCATCTCTACCAATGCATGTGTTATACCTTGCATCAAAGCCAATGCCCATGTTACACCCTGCATCAAAGTCAGCCAGCGCCTCTGTGCTTTTTTTTGGATTTACTAACAATTAATATTCTTCACTATGACGTCCCAGATACGCCATGAAGATATTTCACTTTTCAACATTTAGAGAGATATTGTCAGTACCTGTCTCAGGGCCAAACTCAACACCCGAGTCCCTATCTCCACCTTGATCCTAATCCAGTATATGAACTTTTGGGGTTGTGGATTAACATATATCACCCCCATCATAGTTCCGCCATATTTTCTTCTCCTTCAACTCATCTCCTTTATCCTTGCATAGTACCCTGTTGGTGCAGCGGAAGCGATCGTTGCACAGCGTTGGTCACAAGCAATCAAATAAAGTGCATAGAATAAATAGAAGATAAGAAACAAAGAATTTGGTAACGGGGTTCGGCCAATTGTGCCCACGTCCCCGGGAGCGCTGAGAGGCTACCAAGATATTATTAGAGAATAAGGATTACAAACTAGGACACACTCATGGGCCCAAGTACCCATGCGATGCTTCTGTTTGGTGCTTATATTTGGTGCACATTACAACAAGGGACCTGAGTCCAATATATAACATTGGTTACTTTACTCTATTCCAATATTAGGTGATGTGGGACTAATGCAATAACATATTTCAAGCATTCACAACAATCTCCACCTTGATTGAAATAGACGAATATCTCGCTCCTTTGGAAATCTACACAAGAATCTTCACCTTAGCGAATATATGATTCCACCTTGCTCAATGCATAAATCACAACAATCTCCATTCAAGTGTGAAGTCCCACATTAAATATGCGGGGAAGAGTAAAAGAGTTTATAAGTAGAAAAGACCCATGGAACTAATGCCAAAAGTAGTTTTAGGAATGTCTTCCGTCCTCACACGAAGTTGGTGGTAACCCGACCGAAGGTCAATTTTTGAAAACACCATCGCTCCCCTCAATTGATCCATCAAGTCATCAATTCGAGGTAACGGATATTTATTCTTGATAGTAACCTTGTTCAGCTGTCTGTAGTCGGTACACAACTGCATACTACCATCCTTCTTCTTAACCAACAAAACAGGCGCACCCCACGGTGAGACACTAGGACGAATAAACCGCTTGGCCAATAAGTCCTCGACCTGCTTCTTCAACTCGGCCAATTCTAACGGTGCCATCCTATAAGGAGCTATAGAGATGGGTCCCGTTCCAAGTACCAAATCGATAGAGAATTCAACTTCTCTCACTGGAGGCAACTCCGGAATATCACCAGGAAATACCTCAGGAAACTCACGAACTATCGGAATTTCCTCAATCTTGGGTTTCTCAATACCCTCCAGGGATGCCAACAACATAAACACGGCCCCTCCCTCCTTACAGGAAGTTCTGACTTCCTTTGCCGATAACGGCTTCATGTTAATAACCTCATCAGAAATCTCATCTAGATTCCCGAATACTACGGTTTTATCAGCACAATTAAGCACCATGCGATTCGCCGACAACCAGTCCATCCCCAAAATTATATCTAACTGGGATAGGGGTAAGCAGATTAAATCCACGGTAAAAGTCCTACCATTCACCACTGGACATCGAGATACAACTGTCAACACCACCACAGGTACAGCCGTTGGGGTGGATATGAACAAATCGAAAGGCAACGACTCAATTTGCAAATTCAGTCTATCAACGCATTCAACAGATACAAAGGAGTGTGTCGCTCCCGAATCAAACAACACTAAAAGGGGAATACCTCCTACCATGCAATTACCTTTTATCAGGCCATCTGCACCCGATACCTCAGCACCACTCATGGTGAACACTCTACCAGCAGATCGAGGACATTCATCCCTCATTGCATTCACACTCTGCAGTAGATTAGGACACTGTCTTCGGACATGCCCAACCTCCTTGCAATGAAAACAAGT